CCTCAATGCTGGAAGCTGGATGAAGCAAAGACCTCATAGTTTTCACAGACTGCACAAGCGGTAAGGAATAGACTGCATCATATCTAGATCCGTCCCAGGTTGTATATGCACCCTTATCACTCCATTTAGGATCTTAAGGCTCTTCTTAGATTTAAATGTGTGTGATTATCCTGATTTACAATCAAGCTTTTCTGAATGTTGGCCAAGTTGCAGGGATTTTTTTCTCCTTAGTTGCTTACCAGGTAGGCTTTCCTTTCAGGCTGTATGCAAGTCTTACATTCTGCAGCTGAATAAGCCAACACTAAAGGTCTCAGAACAAAAAGAAAGTGCCTAAAGTCCAAAAGCTTATGAAACCCAATTTCCGAGTCGTGCAACAATAACCTTTATTTAAGATAAAACATCAATTTGCAAGGTTCGCAAAGGTGTGACAGTAGGACAGGTTCCAACTTCTATTTCCCAGCTGCCTATTTTTTTATTTTTCAAACAACTACTTCCACTACATCACGCTTTTTGTGTGCACAAAGAAGAGTAACATCATGAATTCCTTCATGGAGACGCTTTGATTCATACTGCCTTCAGTTATTGTCTTTTGGTTCAGACTCAAAACCTCAGATGGGGTTGAAGTACACATTGTAAACTTAATCCAAAGCATGGCCTAACCATAGCAATTTATAAAGCATTTCATTGGTAGAGTTTGGTGGGAGTAGTTTACAGCCTATGTAGAACTGCTGTTTAAGGAGATACGTTTAAGCAAAACAGTCCCAGCTTCTTTCTGTGGGATATTGTGACCTTCTTTTAAACTCTGAAAAACAAGAAAACATTCTCTCATAACTACATTTTCCGAGTATTTCCTCAATACAATCCCTCAATTCTTCGCAGCTTTAAAACAACCCCATGCTCAGGTCCTAAGGGCTGATTTTAATTCAACAATAAATTTGGTCAAAGTGAAACACAAACACTCTGGTTGAACAGTGTAATCTATTGATATACTGTATGTCATATCTGGAGACTAATAATTTACACAGGGGGATGTAGGCCAACATTATTCTAGCATGTTAATCAAGCATGAAAATGTAGAAATGGCTGATTAAAGGGTCAGTGTGTTATCATAGAAAACATACATGTGTAATCACACAGTCTATGTGATATCGGGCCTCTGTGTTATGTCACGGCAGCCATAGTTTCACATGATTTAGACCATGTCATTTCTCATATCAAAAAACATAGGCTGCATTAGGTATGTATGTGATTATCTTTAGGAAAATATTGCAATATGGCCATTGATACCATGTCATCTACACCTACCCGCATATTTATAAGACCTTAGCTGCTCCGGTACTTTTTTTAAATCATAAAAGTTGAATATAACACACTCGCTATTTTATATTCCTCTAAATACATGTTTTATGGTGGTGGCAATGTGGAACACTGCCCAATATCAGTTTAGCCTTACGTCATATGAGACAACACGTTTAACAGAGAACACTATGAAAATAGTGGGGGAAATGTAAATTGTCTCAGTGTTCTTGTATGAAGGAGACTAAAGTTGACTAATGCTGTAATTCTGGCAGAGGTATACCAATGCTGCACTGCCTTAAATGGGAAACAGAGACCCAGACCTGCGCTTTACTACAACATGTCTCTGATTAGGACCAGATCGCTCTGCCTGTGGTTAGCTCTGAGCCACTGCCAATTCTTACTCATGTTCAAGACTGTTAACTTTGTGGTTTGAAAGCATCAATTTTAAGCTCTCCCTCTTTTCAGCCACTTATACCTGCTTTAGTGAAGATCCATTAAAGAACCATTGGCAAACGGCTGGGTAGTGTAACGGTTATGTTGTTGTGCTTGAACAGAAGTCTGGTATAAAAGCATAACAAATAAAAGCCAAAATAATTATTAGAGGATTATGAATATTCCATCATACCGATTTCTTTAAGGATGCATCTTTTTCATCCATCCTGTTATATCAAAATCAAAGGTTGTTTTTTCTCATGATAATTTGTTAACAAAACTAAGGGTATTTTTCACAAGATAATTATATTATTTGGAGTCAATTGACAGAAAAGTAATCATCAACTTTGATGGTTATCCTTAAAAAATGTTTCATGTAAAAATGGCAGCTATATTAAATTGGCGTTGTCCAAAGCATCCATATGCATGCTCACATAGTGATCTTGACATAACAAGAAACCTGAATGATATTTTAAGAAAACAAATTTGATTTCCCAAGAGTGAGGAAAGTTACAAGTGATCTTGAGATAACCTGAAGGGAAGAATTTGTGCACTCCAGGGTCACCTTCAGCTTTCATAATACCAATTTATTTGTGTCATACATGCTTTAGTTTTCTTTGCACCATAATGATTGTGGATGTTGATTTATTATTGGTACTGGTTTTCTTTTTCCTTTAGGATGAAATGTTTTCAAAGCCCCTCAAGTCTCATCTGCACTACTGGTTGAGCCAATAAAAAAAAATATATTTTTGTATTTAGGCTTTTGTTTTGGAAGTGATGTCTGCTACCATCTGGTGGCCAATGTGAAGACTTCATTAATCAGTCATTTAAAATGTCTTGCTTTGATGGAAAACTCATTTTAACAGCATCCATATAATCCATAATATCAACATTAGTTGACAGTATACTTTATACATTTAATCTCATGTTATTAAAATGTAATTATCTTTTTAATTTGTGCATGTAAACTTCGCGCGGATTGTCCCTTGTTGCTAGCCGTAGTTTACGTCATCAAAACAAGCCGACCTGAGCAGCATGTAGGATCCTCTCTGAAGCATTTTTGACCTTCTGAAATTATTCCTTTTAAGTCGTTTCGGTGAGTTGATTTTTTACAATATATTTTCATTGTATTTCTTTGTTATTTCCAAACAAAGTGGGTGTCATTTTAAATTCCTGCAGTAAAATGAATGCGGTGGTAAAGTGAAAGCTAACGTTAGCTGCAGCAGGGCTTATCATGTAGCCTCCTGTAATCTGACGTTGACACAATAGTAATGTTATGTTATTATTAATACAAACGTTTTTGTTGATGTTTTACAAACTGGACCGAGCTGCTATGCCTTTCAGTGCTGATTGATTAATACTGCAATAAATATAAACGCAATAGAGGTTGATTATTATAATATGTAGACTTCCGTAATTACGATCAGCTTTTAAATACATTTCTAAATTCAGAAAAAAAATGTTATTAATACAACAATATCAGATTTTATGTCTTATCTTTTTAGTTGTATTGACTTAGGATATTTTATTATTCTTGTGAATCCCGACATTTAGTTTAAACAAGAGGTACTGAGCCTTCATCTGATCATCATGTTTCAGATAATGCCTGAGGAACAACTGTTTTTAACTTCTCATCGTCTCACCTGTACTACAGGGTTGGACCCAGATTTTCAGTATGTCGGTGAGGCATGCATCAGTCCATGCCAAATGGATCATTGGCAGAGTAATAGGGACCAAGATGTACAAAACTGCCAAAGTGAGGGTCACAAGGCTGGTGCTGGACCCTTACCTGCTGAAGGTGAATCTTTTAACAACATTCATTCACTGCTTATGTGTTTTTGAAGAATGGGTGGCACAATGTTACACAGTCTACTTTTAAATTCAGGGAGGAATTACGAAAAATATGTTAATGTGGTCATTTTGCTATGTTGTCTGCCTGTTATTTTGTTCTTGTCATATCGTCTTTGTTGACTATTTATTTAGTTTTCCAGAAATAAGCATGCAATTACACCACTTTAAATCTTGTGTTAACCAAAAACGGGTTTAGTAGTTTCTTGGAAAACAAAAGCATTTACAATCATTTTAAAATATCTGTGTCACTAAGAACCAAAACAACCAATTTAACGACAACAAGGGGGCAGTCTTGCTCATTCACATTTAAATTGAATGCATTTGGTTTTTTTTTTTGTCTGATTAACAGCAATTAGCTGTTGGGCTATTATTTGATGAAGATTAATCCTAATTGTGTATAACCACTTTACCTACTTTAAGAATGGTAATTGATTACTGTACATTGATTGTGTATTTATATGGTTTTGTTCTTCCCCATAGTACTACAACAAGAGGAAAACATACTTTGCCCATGATGCTTTGCGACAGTGCACTGAGGGAGACATCGTTCTTCTCAAGGCTCTGCCAGAGGCCAGGTCCAAACATGTGAAGCATGAACTTGCTGAGATAGTGCACAAAGTTGGTCGGGTAGTTGACCCACTGACAGGAATGAGCGTTGAAGGAACACAGTTTGTTGAGCCTCCGACTGACCTGCCACTTAGCCTGGGAGAGGACCAGACGTTATCAGAAAAACTGCAGGAGCTGAACATCTCTACCGCCCCCAGTGGAGCTGATTCCCCTCCTGCACAAAATCCTACTTCATGATGAAAAATTGCCTTATATTTATGAAGTAATGTTAGTTTAAATGTCCCTCTGTAATTACAATTGTCTTTCAGGTGTCCATTGTAAATATAAATGTTTAAACCAGTCATCAATATAAATATCTCAATTAATGTGGAAAATGCATTTTCTTTGTTACCGGAGTTTAATTTAAAAAACATTTCTGAGGAGTTAACAATAAAACAACAATGAAAACGCATGGTGTCATTCACAAACGTGTGCATGGTGTTCATATCTGTCAAAATTGTGTATACAACAAGTATTATAGATTTATGACTTGCCATTATAATCATGTATTCTGTAAGTCTTCTGTAAAAACACAAGATGCTCTTTTCATACATTTACTTTGAAATTGGCATGTATTTAGTACGATACAGCAATGAATGAAAATGTTCTAGAATGTGGGTAAAGCTTTTATTTTGAAAAAAAAGTTATATTTACAAGTAGAATTAAACTATGAAATAGCAACATAGTTTGTTTTTAAGTCAGGTGTGTTGTAATGCATAGAAACTTGCAAAACAGCACATTTACGTTAATGTAGAGCAGGATTGAACATCGAATTCATGACTGATCAACTGCTGTAATAATAGCCACTTCTTTAACTCTTATCTTCATGCCTCTTGGTTATTAAACTAACATCACAACGTAAATCAGATACACAAAGTTAAAGCGGTGTTAATGTGGTAACGTCAGCTCCTCTGGGAACAGTCCTGTCTGCAGAGTCAACCTCCACCTGACAGCAGCTCGAGGAAACATGGCGGCCCGAGTCCTTCAAAGAGTGGGCAAAGGCCTCAAACAGACGAAAAATGGGCTTCATACGAACGGGCAGGTCACGGTTCTCGTAAGGTTAGACTTTTGCAACTGTTCTGCACCAATACAAATGTATACATGCTTCTTGTATTGCGTTTATCTTTCGTAAAGTTTCACCCAAATGACAAAAGTTCGGTAGGCTAGGTTGCTAAGCTAACGTATGGACGTTGCTTACGTTTAGATCTCCGTGTAACGTAGCTAGCATTAGCTCTAGCTCTAAAGTTGCTAACTTTGGTCTAATTATTACCCTGCCATTAAGTTGTAAAGCAACTTGTGCACGCACCTATTATGGCACACTTCATAATTGTGTGTGTGTTGAGTTATAGTTATCATTTGCAGGAAAATCACAACTTTCTGTTTGTGTCAGTCCAAAACTTCAAGGTCACAATAAATTAATCTCTGCACAGGACAACTTATGTTGATAAGTGTGTGACCCAGTTTCATGTTGCAGCAGTTGTGTAGTGTGTCCTAACCATATACTGAAGATAAGGTCAAGCTGTGTGCAATGTTTACATCTGAAACTGCGATGCAATGTTAGTTAAATCTGCTTTTAATGCACTGTGTAAGGTAAGGTTTCGTCAGCTGGCAAACTGTCAAAGGAGTGTTTTTTTGATAAACAACTGTAGGTAACCATTGCATAGAGGTCTTGTTGGCACTTTAAATGTAGTTTAATATCCGAAAACGATATCCTAATGTGGGACAGCTGCGCATGAGTCTGTGTTGACTAATCCTCAGGTTTATGTGCAGTATTTACAGCTTATAGCCTTCTCTGTTGTTGGCCTTAGAGTTGGAGTTACTTCACAATGAAAGAGTCTAAATATATTTGTGCAAAGTTCTTATTTTACGACATAATTGACTAACAATTAAACCAAATGTGAGTACATCATCTTGGGCTTCTAAAACGCTGATTCACATGTTTACCCTAATATTCGTTATTTGCAACCCTGATCTGCTGATATATAGATTTGGCTCTGAACAGCAGAATACAAACCTACAAAAAAGATTAATCGTAAACAAAAGAATAAAGCGTACATTAAACACCTACTAACTAAAAGATAGTAAACGACCCTGGGATAGAAAACATTTCATGTATTTTTAATCTTAAAAAATTTGACAGGTATTAGGCAGTTGTTGTTTTATTGAGAAAAGGAGGATCTGAAAGCAATCTCCACCTGAGATGTCTGACTGCACTACTGTCAACGAGCAGAGCAGTGTACCGAAGAGCCAAATCATTAGATGTGTCAGTGACTTTAAAAACTACAGTAGAGTACAAACGTTTGTGTTTTGTTTTTTTCTCCCCTCAGGAGCCTCTCAGGTTTTGGTGAAGACAGCTGGATCAAGTCTCTGTTTGTCAGAAAGGTCGACCCTCGAAAAGACGCTCACTCGCATCTGCTCGCCAAGAAGGAAGACAACAATCTGTACAAAATACAATGTATGTATTGTTTGTGATTGGAATAGTGGTACATTGCAAAATATTACCCTGACTGCAAGTTTACCATTGTCAAAGATGGATTACTTTTTTTTTAGTAGAACAATCTTATAGTATGCTTGGATTCTGTATTATTGACTCATGTTTTGTTGTTTCCTTGCAGTTCACAATGTCAAGCCTGAGTGCCTTGATGATTACAACGAACTTTGGTAAGAAGCTTTTGTCTCTTAATTATCTTCATTACATTGCATTTAGCTGACGCTTTTATCCAAAGCGACTTACAATCAGATGTCTTGTCACGCGACTGACACAGTACGGATCTTTGCTCATTTATGTGTGTGCTGTGTTTAACTTTAGTGCGGAAATCTTGCCTACCATTCATGCTGACCCTGAATACCCCTGTGAGCTGGTGGGCACCTGGAACACGTGGTACGGAGAGCAGGATCAGGCTGGTAAGAGCATCAAGCTCCATTTATATTATTACTTTACACTTGTGCAATTAATAAACCCCTTTTGTGGATGAAAGTTACACATTTTCTTTTCAAAACAGAAAACATACATTAAAAATCACAGACCATAAAGTAGTGTTCAAAGTATCAGTTGATGAACCAATCATCAAATTATGAATTGTATGAAAAGTCCTTTAACAATCAAAACGATTCCAGCTTGTTAAGTTTATATATTTTTTTTATCATGGTAAATTAAATATTTCTGTGCTTTGAAGTCATGTTAAGAAGAAGAAAGTTAAGCACCCTGGGAATCAGAGAAACTGATCACAGGTGGTCTAAAGAGATAAATAAGGAATCTACAGTTGTTAATGTAAAATAATATATTTTTCAAAAAGAGCTGCATTATATTTGGCTCTTCTGCTCCCTCTATTCTAGTTCACCTGTGGAGATATCGGGGAGGATACCCGGCTCTCACTGAAGTCATGAGCAAACTCAGGCAGAATAAGGTAACGGGTGCTTGGATTAGTTTAATGGCAGATGGCACCCCCAAATGTATATCCACAGATCATTTATCCACCGATATGTTTCACCATCTTTATGTGACATTTTCCAGCTGTGTGGTGTGATTGTAATTTACTGTAGGTGGAATGATCTTTAAAACATATTAAATATGTATTTGTATTTGCAAGTATGTGCAGGTAATGGACCCGGTCCTGCCTTATCCGTTAGGTATATTATTGTTTAATCTCATCAATGTTCTGATCTTAATTGATATTCTGCAACTACTGTAGCTGACTTTGTGTCATTCTTCCCCTGCTCCCTGACCACAGTTTAATATTGTCAAAGATGTTTTTGTTGGTAGACTGAGGCAGATTCACAGAGTGATGTGTTTGCCATTGCTGTAGGAGTTTACAGACTACCGGAAGGAGCGGGGGAAGATGCTGCTGTCTCGTAGGAACCAGCTGCTGCTGGAGTTCAGCTTCTGGAACGAGCCCGTCCCCCGCCCAGGACCCAACATCTATGAGCTCCGATCGTACCAACTCAGGGTAACTCCAAAGGGAATGTACCATCTTCCTCCCATTATGCACAAATGTGTGAAATATAATAACTTATTTTCCACTCCACCCTTCACATTCATATTTCAGCCCGGGACGATGATCGAGTGGGGAAATTACTGGTAAGTCATTTTTTTTATATAGCATAAGAAAGTCATCAAATTGGATTTATTTTCAGAAAGTTAGTCTGACAGCCCATAAGCTTTTTCACAAGTGTTTTTGTGTTTGCAGAACTACCATTATTACAGTATTTACCATTTAAAAGTTCCTCACTACTATTTTATTGGTTTCACAGATTGTAGCAGATGAATATCAGTCAACGGTACTTTTTGGGTAGACAATCTATGCATGACTCCTAAGCATGACAAGATATATCTCACAAAATGTGTAAATGTCAAGCATAATTTAACTTTGTACACTGTTTATAATATAATATAATATGTACGTATCGGATATAATTTGATATTAATTTGCCTGCTAAGATAATAAAACAAACATGCTTTAAAAAAGGTTTTGAAAGAGGTTGTTACATGGAAGTTTGATTTTGTGATTTAAATAAATGATTTGGATATCTGAGAAGGTCAGATTCATTTGAACTTTAAAGCAGGTTTCTAATTAAGGCTGGGGGTTAAATCAATACAACCCTTTAATTAAATGTTGTAAATGTTTTTTTATGTATCATAACTCTTTGGTGCTCTGCAGGGCGCGTGCCATTGAGTTTCGCCAGCAGAACCAAGAGGCGGTGGGAGGCTTTTTCTCACAGATTGGACGTCTGTACACAGTTCACCACTTATGGGGTGAGCATGTTTCAGAGTTTAGGTACCAAGTTTGCATTTGAAAGACATTTATAAATGCATCACCGTATTACAAATGATTGTAAAATGTCTTTTTATATACATAAACAAGAGCTTAGCAAGCGGGAGAAGATGGATGGATGGATGGATGGAATAGCTTAGCATCTTTGATGTCCCCTAGATATTTTTACACCAAGTGTTTGTGTTACTTGTCAGGAAATGTACATTATGTATTATATGCATTATCTTCTATTCCTCATCTTTCAGCTTACAAAGACCTTCAGTCCAGAGAAAACACCAGAAACTTGGCCTGGCAGCATGACGGCTGGGATGAGGTTGTTTATTACACAGGTACATCTTAGTTTGCTGTCTTATCTCTCCTACCTTAACCTCTCTGTAGCGCTACATATTTTTACATTGTATATGCATGAAAAGAAGACACAGGAAAGACAGGAAAAGTATGGCAGTAGGTCAGATGAAAGAAAGTATTTTAAAACATAGTGATGCAAACATAGTTTCAACAATGAACTAGTGGCAATGAAGGATAGGTGATGTTTTACATGGAAAGGGAATATTATAAAGAAAATAAAAAACAAGAACTTATTATGTAAACAAAGGATTGTGTTTGTTTAAGTAGGTGGTCTTCCAGCCTTACTCAACACAGGATTTTAGTATGATTCCATTGAAAACAAACGAACAAATGCATGAAATATGAACCAAGTTAAATAAAATGGTTTGATGAAGTTACCACAGTGCATTTAAACAGATTGTCCACTTTCCTACGTAATTGTGTTCCTCTCGGTTATTTTACACAATACTGCATGACAAATAAATCTGTTTCTTCACACTTTACAGTCCCTCTTATTCAAAACATGGAGTCTAGAATAATGATTCCCATGAAGAATTCTCCCTTGAAGTGAGCACAGACGCCGGGGGAGCCTCTCTACAGTCACTGAGTCGCACTTTGGAGAGTGTGACCAACCATCAGATGTTCAGTGCATAACATCAATGTGTTGTTTATTTTTCTTCTTTGTTTCGTTACTGTACTTTTCTGTGTGGGCCTAGATGTCTTAATTCTGATTCATTATAGCGGTTTTTGTAGACCACAATTAATTGTACATGCCCCTCCTCTTCACTGTCTCAATTTTTTGTAGGGTCAAGAGCCTTATTTTGACATGATGTTATAAAATCGTCACTGTCTATGTGTTACCAAGAAGATATTAAACATTTAGCAGTTCTAGTGCTGGTCACACGGGCTGAGAATGTCAGACGGTCTTTCAGGAAAATGACACCCAAGCCTAATTGCACTAGCATTAATAACCATTCAAACAAAACTGCCTCCAGTTTCACACAACACAAACATTGCATTGACACCCCAATATTAATATTAATTCGGCAAGCTTCTTATGTGTTACAGGTGAAAGTCAATTTTTTAGGAGCATGATATTTATAAATCAGTGTTCAAGAATGGAAGCTGATGAGATCGAGGCCTTTAGTGCTACATTCAGACTACCGTTTATATTCAGTAAAAGTACAACACCTATTTGGAAAAGTGACATAATGTTTACATGGCTTTGATGCAGCCAACTGAATATGTTGTGTACCAATTGTTTGTTTCAAAAATAAGTTGGCCCACTTTGTGTCTCCTCTGTTAAACTGACCACATCTCCTTCTGTTCTAACTTTAACATCAGGACACTTCTGCCTCTTCCAAGATGATTCAATGATGAGAACAGGTTTTGATGTGTGCGTAACTAATCATATCTGATCAAATTGCTGTCCACTGACTGGTCTAAACTAATTAATGCCAACAGGGGGACTGTGTGCTCTAACTGAGATTAATGTTGTTTTTTAAATGGTCAGATTTTAAGTCTCCAGCTTGGTCAATACTGTATTTGTAAATTATGTGGGTTTTATGAACTATCTGATGTTGATGAACAGACCGAGAGGAAATAAGTAAAACCCAACGTGGTGAATGTGAATTGCAGTGATTTTATGAGATTAGTTGTACATAATGAATTAAAATTCTGATGAAAATTGACAAAAAAATGTCTTGGTCTCCTATTATCGTGTATTTTTTAAATGATAGTAAACATTACCATAATAAGACAGTCGCTAATGTGACGTAATCCGCGCGTCGTCTTGGGTGTGACTTATGTTGCCTTCAGTGTAAATCGGACATCTCTAAAGCGCACAATAAGCAGGTGGCACTCGTGATTGATCAGTGCGTAAAATGCTGTTTTCCAGTTGATTATAATTAAAGATGGCTGTTTGCCTCCCCAGGAACAGTTAATTCACAGGTTGTAAAACAATTGTAGTCTTATTTATAAGAGACAACAGTTGCTGCTTTAGCTTTCTTAGTTATAGTTGGAATATATTTTATATAACGCACAGAACCTGTACGCACAAACAAAAAACAAACACTACAGAAATGTTAACCATGCAAACCTTTACATACCTTCAATCATTACAGACACATTACAGTATTCCTATCAAACAATAACAGTCACATGGATATAATCAGCACAGATAAGATATTAAGATATATATGAATTAAAATCTGACAATGGAGATATATTCTGCCACTTCATAATCTCCTTTTGTGACCAGATAACATTGTAATCTACTTTATCTTTTACCCCTCTTTCAAATTATCAAATACCTTCTTTTTTTTTACACTGTACTGTGTCTTTCTTTTCATTGTAGTGATACTGTGGTAATCGGATCACCTAGGATTATTTTCAGTGGTGTAAAGTAGCTAAATAGATTTACTGTTCTTTGGATACTGTTGTTTGCTACTCTGTACGTTCTACCCATAGACTGTATATACCCCACAATTCAGAGGTAAATCATGTACTTTTACTCCACTAGGCCTACATGTATTTGATACCTTTAGTTACTTTGCAGATTTGGATTAATAATGTGAAATATAATCAACCCTTAAATAAGACTGTAGTTACACCTGAGTAAATTCACAAGCTACCCTGCAGTATACAAAGGAATTACAACTAGCTTCACCTTTACCAGCTTTGATAAACACTTTAGTGCATCAATAATTATAATCAAAACATATACTTTATATTATTCTGCATAATGAGCACTTTTACTTTTGGTACCTTGAGAATATTTTGATGCTAATACTTTTGTACTTTCACTTGATTAACATTTTGAATGCAGGAATTTAGCTGTTTTATATTTTTGTATATTTTGATGCTAATACTATCTCCTTTTACATGAGTAAAACACACTGTTTCCACAGATTCATGTAAATATATCTAATATGTATATGACCCAATATGTATATATGTTCATTTTCATTCATTTCTTACTTCATAGTTTATATGATCCAATATGTATATATGCTCATTTTTATTCATTTCTTATTTCTATCTTTATTTGTATTAACCTGTGTGAATCTGTTCTGTCCTGTGTTTCATCCTTACCCTGTTGCTGTTAGAACCACTGAATTTCCCCACGGGGATTAATAAAGGTCCATGTTATCTTATCTTATTTTAGTAACATGAAGGAGGAGTTTGAAGTTTCCGAGCCTTGAGATGTACCTAAAGGCAGCACGAGAACACGTGCTGGAGCCTTCTGGAAGCCGACGCTCCTTTCCTCAGCGCCCTACTAGTGCGAACTCCCTGCCAGCGCTACTTTTTACTTTGACTCCGCTGGTTGAGCTGCTTCGCCATGTCTGCCGTTAAATCTCTGAACCCGAAAGCGGAGGTGGCCCGGGCCCAGGCCGCACTGGCGGTTAACATCAGTGCCGCCCGGGGGCTCCAGGATGTGCTGAAAAGTAACCTGGGACCGAAGGGGACCATGAAAATGTGAGTGGAGCCCTTTGTGCAGCATGCGGGCTAAGCTAACAATGCTAACGTAGCTAATGTTAATGTTAGCTACAATTCACCGGCAGATTGTCTGCACATGTGCTACTGAATTCACAAGATTATGAATGTATTTTAAGCATTGGAAATCCCCCTCTTTGTACCACTGTGTTGTTATCCGCTAAGTAAATACATGTGATCGATTTTAGGCCCATACAAGCTACATGGATAACGGATTTTAGCGGCGCACGTTGCCCTGCCCAGTCATCGTCACAATCCGTTTTGACAACCACCAAGCTAGCATTAGCATATTAGCAAAGCCGGTTATCTGAAATCGTCCAAATAAACCTCGTCTATGACTCTTAAATCACAAACTGTCTGTAGACTTAACTTTGGCGTTGACTAGTTTGATTTCTAAGATGAATGAATGACTTCACAGTTCTGTTACTTAACGGTAGTACAATGTCAGCATCAGCAGCATTATTTCAGGAAGTTCAGTCTGCAGCTTCTGCATCCGTCAGTTTGTGAACATACATGGTATTTTCTGACTGAAACATGCATGTAGGGCTGACTGAAAATACATGCAAGATGGAACTGATGAATTGTATTAATTGCACAGAGAACACCCCAGGATGCTATTGTAGCTCCCCTGGTCTCATGTTTCTGTGCCACAGTAAATCTGATCTGTACCTCTGCATTGGGAGAGACCCCTCCTCACCTACATGCATCAACGGATCAGAATATAACTTAATATTACTGAACTGCTAGTCCAAAAAGTTTAAGTTTGTATAAATGTGGCTGTGGGTTGTTCCGCAACAGCTTTTGCTTTGTTAACATTAACCCTTTCCTGTCTTTGCTACGCAGGTTGGTGTCTGGCGCAGGAGACATAAAGCTGACCAAAGACGGAAATGTCTTGTTACACGAGATGGTAAGTAAATGTTAAACTGTGGATTACATTTACCAACCCTGTCCCACTGTGTTGTTCCTTATTGGGCTTTCTTCTTCATTGTTGGGAGTGACCACACCCCTAACTCATGGGTCCCATATCTGCCTGTGTCCAAGTCCCATGATCGCATTAAACAATAATAAACTGTTACATGTATGATTTAATATTGCATCCAGAGTACAATCTTTGCCAGTTAATTGAGGCACAAAATGAATAAAGGATATATTGTTTAGAAAAAATCTTGCCCGCTCATTTGTCAAATATCCTCTATAATGAAAGTAAGCATTAGTTGCATCAGCCCTGTTGCAGTTTTCTAAGTGTGAAAGAGTTTTGCATGATGTCTTATGTTTTATATTGTGCATTTTGCAGCAAATTCAGCACCCGACAGCATCCCTCATTGCTAAAGTTGCCACAGCCCAGGACGACATCACAGGAGACGGGACCACCTCAAATGTCCTCATCATCGGCGAGATGCTGAAGCAGGCTGACATGTACGTGTCAGAGGTAAGAGATGGCCATTTGTCATTTAAAAGTTCTAAATATAATGTGCCTGTCTGACACTTCCGAGAATGTACACTTTATTTAAACCTATATTGACATGCAAACCTCTTTTTTAAAAGGCATGTCACTATCCAGATACGTTTTCATACCATAACTTAATTGATTTTATGCTTCAGGGTCTTCATCCCAGAATCATTGCTGAGGGCTTTGAGTCGGCGAAAGAGAAAGCCTTGGCTCTTCTGGAAGACTTGAAGGTGACAAAGGAAATGGACAGAGAGACCCTCATCCACGTAGCTCGCACCTCCCTCAGGACCAAGGTCTACGCAGAGCTGGCCGACCTGCTCACTGAGGTGAGACTCGAGAAGCTGGGGCTCTGTGGAGAGCTGACGGCCAGGATTTGATCCTACGGCACCAAACATATTGTTTTTCTTTGTTATTGATTTTGTTGACATGCTCATCCCTTTGGCTGTGACATGTCAAATAATGGTAAATGTCAACCATTAGCTACAACTGCCCAAAGGGATGTCAGTCAAACAACCACTATGGTCGTGAGCTGGTTGTTATTTTCCGTCATCGGTTTGTGTGACATAGGGCTGCTATATCAAATGATACATGCACATTGTTTTTTTAGAAATCAAGTAATCCATCGATTGTTTCATCAAGTTCGGATGAGCATTACCATACCCTATTAAAGAGCAATAGTGTAAACAAATCTAAATTTGTATTACTTAAATTGCATACAATTTACAATCTAACCCATTTAGGCTGTTATGTTTGCCTTTGAACAAAAAAATAAACATCTTCTAAATTAATAAAATCATTTTATATCACTTGGAAATAGGTACATTCCTTGTAAGATAAATGTCCTGGAACTTTAAGAGGGGTGGGGTTAGTTAAACAAAGCATCAATGAAGAAAAGAATGAGAAGAATTTGCAACACCAATTTTAATAATCATAGTAGAGAGAGTACTTTTCCCAGTATAGTTCCGAAAATGTGCGTTCACACCAAAGAAATCTGGAACTAGAACTTAGTTCATGAGAACCTTTTCACCCCTTTTTAGTCCCTGCTAGAGAGCAGGTACTTTCATGGGAGAAAAAGGTTCCCATTTCAGATTGGCTGGGCGGATTGCAAACCACGCCCCGTACAACTCCGAAAAGTTTTGTGAAGCCGCCATTTTATTTGCTCGCATTAGCATTAGCCCAGCGCACCAACGGAGAGAGAATAACTTATGGCAACACAAAAAAAATACATGGGAGCGGTGGAGATGAGGAGGTGTCGGCGTTCTGGCGATTTACTCGGAAGGCTTCAGTAGAAGCTGCTGGGAGTCCCAGCAGCTTCTACTGAAGCCAGTCCCCGACTTCGGGTGGCAGTATACGCCGTGAAGTTGTTTGTGGCCTGCCAGTAAACCCAAAGCAGAAGAAGAAGTGACGTCAGCAGCTTCATTTGCCTAACCCTCCCTCAAGGACTTATTCCGGTGTGAACGCGATCTGTACTTAGTTCTTCAGAACTAAAGAGTTCTGATTAACTAAGTTCTGAGAACTAAGTACGGCAAAGTACTTGGTGTGAAAGCGCCTAATAACACAAGCTCCTTGTGTGATGTGTTTCTCTGCAGGCTGTAGTCGATGCTGTGCTGGCCATCTCCAAACCTAATGAGCCCATCGACCTGTACATGGTGGAAATCATGGAGATGAAGCACAAGACCGACTGCGACACACAGTGAGTTTGAATAACAACTGAACACTTGAGAATACAGAGAATACTCTTTAGTGTGTAGTGCTCCCATATACTTAAAGGCTCTTGCTTATTCTTCTCTCTCAGGCTGATCAGAGGTTTGGTGTTGGACCACGGAGCCAGACACCCAGACATGAAGAAGAGGGTGCAGGACGCCTACATTCTGACCTGCAACCTCTCTCTGGAGTACGAAAAGACAGAAGTCAACTCCGGTTTCTTCTACAAGAGCGCCGGGGAGAGGGAGAAGCTTGTGGCTGCAGAGAGGAAGTTCATCGAGGATCGCGTGCAGAAAATAATCAGCTTCAAGAACAAAGTCTGTCCCAATGGAGAGAAGGGGTTCGTCGTCATTAACCAGAAGGTATGCTCAAAGCTTTACATTTTTATAAAAACAGAATGGATTTTATAAATAAAGGCAGAATGGACCCTTTATGAATTGCACAGAGAACACCCCAGGATGCTATTGTAGCTCCCCTGGTCTCATGTTTCTGTGCCACAGTAAATCTGATCTGTACCTCTGCATTGGGAGAGACCCCATCTCACCTACATGCATCAACGGATCAGAATAACACTCACTACCACCCAAACTGACATAAATGAACATTGATTTATTTCTTTAACCGATGATAAATATAAGTTTCCTGTTTTCTCTGTTGTGCAGGGCATCGACCCGTTCTCCCTGGACACCCTCGCCAAGGAAGGCATCGTGGCCCTGCGCCGGGCGAAGAGAAGGAACATGGAGAGGTAAGACCGTAACACATCTACCTGTTAAATATAAGTGGCCTCTTCTTCACAATGCAAATGGTCTAGTTGTTCTGATTTAAGGAGGCAAAAGAGAAGCTTACTAGTTTTGCTCAACACCCCCCAGATTGAAATATTTCCGACTTGCACAGATTTTCCTGGTTTAAAAAGGAATAAAGTGCAATTCCTGGATAGAAACTCTGCCATCATCACATAGGGCCTGCGCCATCAACAGTCCTACTTTGCTTGGCCATAAGGGAGCGCCCTTTAGCTATCGTGGGGATAAGAAGGCTTCATTAAGAAGGCTTCATTATAATCAGTCTGATTTGCTTTTATGTCTCATCAAATATATGTGATTTTCTTTTGGGTATGGTTTTCCATGCTAGTATTATATCAATTGCTTTGATTCTGAGACGAAACATCTCTACTTTTTCTGGGTTGTTAAAAATGTTAATTAACCCATTATTTTCTTTCATTATTGATTACTGTGCCAGTTGGGCTCTAAAGAAGTTGTTTGGTCTGTATATGCAATAAAAAAATGAACAAACCCAGCTTTTCAAAGCCCAAGTCCACAATCCAAAAATATCCTGTTGAATGAGATATAAAAGCAGGGAAGAAGGAACATAAATATGACTTTAATCACTGTTTTTCAAAATAGCTGACTTTGTATAGTCATCATACTTTCATTTGGCACTGGTGACGTTTGTCATCATTTACAACCGAGGGCTGAGTTTTAAACAGTCTGTGTTTCCCTCTGCAGGCTGACCCTCGCTTGCGGTGGCATTGCCATGAATTCAATTGAGGACCTCACACCCGAGTGCTTGGGACACGCTGGGTTCGTTTATGAACACACACTGGTGAGTACCTATCTGTGTTTTTCTGGGTGTGATATTTTAAGATATACTTTTCGGTCATAGGATATTGAGGCAGAGTTGTTAATCTGCCCCCATCCTGTTTGCAGGGAGAGGAGAAGTTCACATTCATCGAGGACTGTAGCAACCCCCGCTCCGTCACCCTGCTGGTGAAGGGACCCAACAAACACACCCTCACACAGATCAAAGATGCTGTCAGGGATGGTCTGCGGGCAGTCAAGAACGCCATTGAAGATGGTAAGACCATCCAAAATGTTACCATGTGTCTGTATCATCTGACTTTGTTTTATCAGAGTTACTGTTACATTTTGTGTTTTGCCACCAGTGTGTTCGATGTTCCTAATTTAAATCAAATGTATAGTTGGCAATAGTCTTCTGCGTTTGGTGTCCCCTGCACAGCGAACACCCGCGGACGCTAACATGGCTCTCCCTGGCTCTCATGTCTGTGCTACAGTGACTCTGAACTGTTCCTCTGCATTAGGAGCGTTTCAGTCTCTCCTACATGTATTAACTGATCAGAACAAACTCCTCTCATTGACTGAGTTTAACATTGTTGTATGCCTTATTAAGCCAAGGAATGTATACTTGTGTTTGCTAAGTCTCTTCTTTCCCTCTGTGTTTCTTCAGGTTGCGTGGTGCCTGGCGCCGGTGCTTTCGAGGTGGCTGTGGCCGACGGTCTGGTGAAACACAAGCCCAACGTGAAGGGCAGAGCCCAGCTGGGAGTCCAGGCATTTGCAGATGCTCTCCTAGTCATCCCCAAGGTAACATATTCTACTTTCTTCCAAGGCTTTAAGTGTTTCCATATGATTTCTTCTCATTCTCCTTCTAAAGCTACACATTAGACAGGAAAATGTAAAAAGAGGATTGCCATCTGTTGGCATTCTTACTGTATCGATCTCTGTATTTTAATTGTGCGTCTTCCTTGTAGGTTTTGGCCGTGAACTCTGGCTACGACCCCCAGGAAACCCTCCTGAAGCTGCAGACAGAGTACAAAGAGTCTGGTCAGTGTGTTGGAGTGGACCTCAGCACAGGTGAGAACCACAGCATGCTATTGACAGAACAACAAAATAATAATTAAAGTGTTATTGTTGTCCCTCACTCGCTAATCACAGAACAGATACACTTCCATTCTATTAAATGTATGAATCCACACTGCCTCTGGGAGTTGCATGTCTACAAGATCACCTGTTTTTTTACACCTTAAATCTATTTTTGTCCCGTGAAGTGTAATCTGCACACAAACAAACATTTTGCTTTGTATTTTTGTGGATTCTCGTTCGTCTTAGTATTACTATGGATACGGTACGAGGCAAACACTTCTATTAGTTGCTTCACTTCCAGACTGCACATTTGAATAAGTCTTCTGTTATAGTTGTCAGTCATGGAATGTTCCTGTTGCTAAGCCCCTAAATACTTGGGTCATATTGCACATATATTTCAAGCTTATTGTTTTGAACTTGATATCTGTTGTTCTTCAGGGGAACCCATGGTGGCAGGAGAAGCAGGCGTTTGGGATAATTACAGTGTAAAGAAACAGCTTCTCCATTCATGGTGAGTAACATATTTCTAAAGTGTAAAAGACGGATTGAATATTTTAAATTCTCCTCATCGATCTCTTACGTGACGTTTTATTCCTTTACAGCACGGTCATTGCCAGCAACATCCTGCTGGTGGATGAGATCATGAGAGCTGGAATGTCTTCTCTGAAAGGTTAAAGGTCATCAGAAGAAGCCGCAGCTGTTGTCATACTCGGAGGGATAGTTGTTTACCTGACGGTTCAACGTGTTCCCGCTATAGGAACTCTGAAACCCCCCCCCCCCCCCAGTCAGATGGACGGCCCACTGTACTCCCACGGCCTCCGTCACAGCGGCAGTCAGAAACCATTGTTATGCTTGTCACAGGTTTTTTTTTCATGGATTTGTCAACCTTTTGGTTTATTTATGAGATTTTGTTAAAAGCACTGACTCCTGCCACTCGGTTCTGTTTCTACCCATTAAAGATTTTCATGGCTCTTGAAAGATGTGGTTGTTTGTCGTGAAGAGTAATTGTATCCATGCAATGAAAATGACTTCAGAGAGTGAGAATGTGCTCAAACTCAAAAATAAACTTTTCTGATGTAATGAGCTATAAAAATAGTGGCACAATAAAATATTGAAATGTCAAACCTGAAATCATTTCCATTGTTTGCTACTTGAACTTAAGAATGTTCTGCTATTTCCTTTTGAGTCTTTTAAATGAACATTATTTTACATTGAGTGTCACTAAAATTAAAGCTTTCCAACAATGTAGTGAAACCTAACTTCTCTACCAGTTGCATCTAATTCTTCTCACACCCGAATGTATCAGAAATAACTCCTTATCGAACTCCTATTCGATAAGGGGCATTTACTTTCCACTGCACATAGCATATATTTACAGTATGATCAACTCCTCAAAAACCTGGATGATCATTTAGTATTACATTCATTTGGAGTCAATTAGACTCGGATTCAGTAATGTATGAAAAACTTAAATCGCAGATTCGTCAATATAAAAAAATTCAAATAGTCCAAGCTCAGGTGTTAAATAGTCGACATTGTATTAGTATCAACATTCATAAATTACTTTATTTCAGGTAAAGATTTTTTGTAATTTAACCTATTTTCAAATGAACCATGAATACATTTAACAGCAGATGTTTCCTTTATAACAAGTGTGTCAAATACAGTATAATGTCACTTCAGCTACAAGTGAAATAAATAATATATCACTATTCGTGACTTTAGGGGTTCCGTTGATACCGTTAATTCCTCTAAAAGCATTCATGATTCATGACAGGGAAAAGTAATACAAAACTAAATGAACTCTTGTGATTTGAGTTTTTATAAAACGGCGGAACTTTTTATTTCCCACGGAACCTGTGTGTCGTTGAACCCATTTCCGGTGCGACGGGGAAATGTGTCCGACAGAAATGTAACCATTACATCGAAGTTTGAGAAGTTCTGCTGCTTGTTTACTCTTTTAAACTCGCATCTGTATAAAACGCTATATATATGCTTAATGGTAAATCACTGTAAGGTAAAACTAGCTTGTCAAAATGAACGCCAAAGTATTATTCGTCATATCTGCGGTCTTTTCACTGGCAGCTGCGGGTAAGAAATCACATTTCTGAACAAACTAAAACATAAATGATATTAATATTGAATCAGCACAATGGACATGTTTCCTCCCGACACACAGCAGCGGGTGAGATGGTGAATATATCCAAAGGAAAGATGGTAATGGGAACCAGTGCAGCTGATGGGAGAGATGGGGAGGCGCCCGTCAAGCAGGTTGAAGTGAAGCCCTTTAAAATGGACAAATACCCGGTGACAAATACTGATTTCAGGTAAGACAACTTGAAATATGATATCAAGGTGTCTATAATCAGTGTTGGAAGAAGTACTGCATTATACCACATCAGCTTATCATTTGTTTGTATATGTACAGAGTAACTAGTAACTGTGAGTGTTATAATAAATGTAGTGGAGTAAAAAGTACAATGTTTGCCTCTGAAATGTAGCAGAGCAGAAGTATAAAGTAGCATTGAAGGAAAACACTCAAGTAAAGTACAACTATGTCAAATAAGTACCTAAGTACAATACTTGAATAAATGTACTTAGTAATTTTCGACCACAGCTCCGAATGAGTTAAAAATATTAAATCAAATCCACTGACTTGGCCTTCATTCCCCACAGAGACTTTGTGAGAGCACAGAAGTACAAAACTGAAGCTGAGACGTTTGGTTGGAGTTTTGTGTTTCAAGACTTTGTGTCAGAAGAGCTGAAGAGCAAAGTCACACAGAAGATTGAGGTACTGGGATTTTGGAGTAAATTAAAACATAATTATTAGTCTGACATGAACTGACCATCATTTAAAAATGAAGTTGATGTATATCTTTCCTTCCCATCCAGTCTGCTCCTTGGTGGCTGCCTATTGATCGGGTGTTTTGGAGACAGGTGAGGTGACGAATGAAACCTTGTCTCTTCCTTTGTATTTAGGTATTTATGCTAGAGTGCCTTCATTGTCTGCCTTTCAAACCTTTGACCCCCCCACTGTTCAGCCTGCAGGACCTGGTTCAGGCATTCGGGAGCGTCTGAGCTTCCCTGTGGTTCAGGTGAGCTGGAACGATGCTCAGGCGTTCTGCCGCTGGAAGGGCAAGAGACTCCCTACTGAGGAGGAGTGGGAGTGGGCTGCACGAGGGGGGCTGCAAGGTAAACTCAGAGACAAGAAGAAATATTATACATGCCACCAAATGTTTTCTACAAGGGCTGTGTAGTCACGAGAATCTGCAGATGCGATTCGTTACATAATACAGTTGTTATGATTCAATATATAGTATTGCTTTACCGTGACCAATAAGTGGCCATTTTATCCTTTTGATATAAGGACAATTATCACAGTATTAAAAACTAACCATCATATGCTTAAAGACTGAGTAAATAAGTTTACTTTTTGTGCAATTAGTGGGATAATAATCTGTATTTATCCCAGTGCAAGTAACATAGAACATCATAGTTAAACTTGTTCTACAATCTGAGCCTGTAACTTCAAACTTTACACATCAGGTGTGTTTTTGAGAATTGATACAGTATCTTAAAAACGTAAACCAAATTGTTCTACACCCCTATATTCTACTATTTCACACTTTGTTTGCATCTACACTTGACTGACATCCATGAGCCGGAGCCTGACTGATTTAAAGCTTCACAAGTCAAGGGCCACTGATGAGAAACTAGTTTTTATGACCCTCAGCAATCAGTACCAGTGTTGTTTCATTGTTTGCAATCCCGTTAAAACTTTCCTTCCTCTTGTGTTCCAGGTCGGATTTTCCCGTGGGGAAACAAGTTCCAGGCCAACCGTACCAACCTGTGGCAGGTCAGCCAACGACAATAATGCATGTTAATGTGTGAGGGTTTTCCTTTCAATTCTGCAGATAGTTGGGACTTTATTTTAGCTACAATTTCAGGTGCGACAAGTTTTAAACAATATAAGACATTTCTAAATTAAATGAAACATGTTTTTTATGATTTGACTAAAACGTAATTAACAGAAATACTAAGAATGTTGCAAAATGTGTGTTTGGTTTAACATACACTTTAAATTAGTGAATGCCAACAGATATTGAAGATATATTGTCATGGTTTCTCCTAAAACATATGTTTATGTAATTGCTTGTGACATTTGTAAACACATGCCTTATAAGAACTTAAATGTCTTTTATGTTTTAGGGATCCTTTCCAGACGGAGACACGGCAGAGGACGGTTACCATGGCGTCTCTCCTGTCACAGCATTTCCTCCTCAGAACAGTTATGGTAACTCCCAGTTAAATTAACCTTATTGAGATTATACAAGATGAGAAGTGCTACATTGTCCCAGAGAGGTCTTTTATTGAAAACAATAGATGTGACAGAAATGTTAAAACTGATTTTGATTCTTCCGGCAGGGCTGTATGACATGATGGGGAACACTTGGGAATGGACCTCCACACCCTTTCCTGCAGCACAGCCACATTTTGTGCTGCGAGGCGGCTCCTGGATCGACACGCTGGACGGCTCAGCCAATCATAAGGCGCGAATCACAACAAGGTATGTTTTATAAAATAAAAATAAAATCATTTTTTAGTATGGCCTTCTGACTGATGATGGTGTGTGTGTGTGTGTCCTGCAGGATGGGCAATACTCCGGACTCTGCCTCTGACAACCTGGGATTCAGGTGTGCCGATGATGATGGAGAGAAACAAGGGAAGAAAAAAGACAAGACTGAACTGTAGCAACGCAGGAAATATAAAGTGAAGGATAAAAAAGTTCTCAAAAGGAATCAAACAGAGAAAAAAACAAGGGACCAATCAGGTATCGATGACTTACAGTGAATTTTAATAAATGGTGATGGAGACAGGAGTGTAGAATCAAACTGTATTTCTCCTGTGGAGAATTTAGCTTTTTTACAAAAAATAACATACCTTACATCCAAGAAATAAAAAAAAATGGAAAGAAAGAAAAGTTTCTTGTAGCTTTTTTGCTATAACGTTTACTGGCATGACTGCAGATTCTTGTTGGTCATGGACTCATTTCACTGACTGGAGAAAGAGGACACTTCCCTTCACACGCTGGGGTCTGTTTTGGTGAGCGTTTTATGTGACTGGAGAGTAAATTAGTCCATTGGATAAATCTCAGTGTCCTATAATCCTGTCTTTGTCTGTTTGTTTTCCTTCTCATCACTAGAGGACAGCTGAGTGGTTGTTTGGACTCAATCTGTTCAACCCCGCATATTTTTGTGTCTAAACTCCACTTTTATTTTAGTATCAAAGAACTGTGTAAAGCCAACAAATGGACAACTACTGATTACACAATCCAGAGATGTTACGTGTGGATTGAAATATGTTTTAGTGTTAATAGTTTGTTAGAATAATTTCATTGCCAACATCTTTTTTTAAATTATATTTATATAAACAAATGTACCAGCATCTGTTATTGTAGTGTTTATTCCTTGGGCAAATCAGTGTTTTGGTTCTCGTAAAAAACAGTATTTGCAATTTTTACATAGACAACATTTTTATTGTGCCCAAAGAAACTTGGACAAACTTGACTTAAAGTAGTTGTGTGTGTGTGTGTGTGTGTGTGTGTGTGTGTGTGTGTGTGTGTGTGTGTGTGTGTGTGTGTGTGTGTGTGTGTGTGTGTGTGTGTGTGTGTGTGTTGTGTGTGTGTGTGTGTGTGTGTGTGTGTGTGGTGTGTGTGTGTGTGTGTGTGTGTGTGTGTGTGTGTGTGTGTGTGTGTGTGTGGTGTGTGTGTGTGTGTGTGTGTGTGTGTGTGTGTGTGTGTGTGTGTGTGTGTGTGTGTGTGTGTGTGTGTGTGTGTGTGTGAAATGTGACGTGACTATTTAAAGCTGGCAGAACAATATGTGTCCGTCTGAACAATGCCACTTATTTGCAGTATAATGACTGAACATAATTGCGACGTAGTTTGTTGTTGATCTTTGGCGGCAACCAAAATTGCATGTGAATAATAATATATAATATCCTCCTGGGCTACGGGGAAACAAAGACCAAGTATTCAGTTATAAAATGGGACGTGTTGATATGTCACTGCCTCGTCTCTGCTGATGAATCACAATATTTGTGCACTTACGAGGAATTTGATTCTTCTTTTTATTTTTTGCATCGCCCTCAATGTACCTACACAGAAATAGACACAACTAGGCACCAGCTGAACAAATAAAGGCAATAATAGACAGAATGTCTGTGGAATTAATAGATGGGTGTGTATATAAATGTATTACAAACAATTAAATGAAATATCTATATACAAGTCCATTGTTAAGGAAACAAACAAGGATAGAAGGATGATTTATTGTCATTTAACAACGCAGGGTTTGGAAACTCAAAGCAGTTATACTCTCATTCTGCTACATAAGAAAATCAAATTGCTATATTCTTGATGGAGCTTGGAGGAGTGTCACAGCTTGAGGAGAGAAGCTGCTCGGTAGTCTGGTCCTACTTCTGCTTCTCTTGCCAGACTGCAGCAGGATGGTTATTGTCCTTAATATCCTTTGGGCTTTTTCGCAGGAACCTTTTCACCCTAATATCGCTGAAGCTCGGTGGATGAGCACCAATGGCAGACGGGCAGTTCTGATCACTCTCTGCAGAGCCCTCCGGTCCCAAGCACACCCCATGCCAGTTTGTATAGTTTCTGGTCAGGATGCTTTCTATTGATACTCTGTTAAAGTCAAGAATTTTACCTAAAATATTCTGCCAACTTTGTCAGGTTGTTTTGATGATTCCCAGAAACTTAAATCTGTTCAATAGCTTCATGTCAGCTCCATACATGTAAATAGGCTTGTGCTTTCAAAAACACTTGACAAGTATCTCCTTGGTTTTGCATTGTTGTTGAAGTAGGTTGTTCTCTGAGTATACTTTATTATATTTTGCATTTTCTTTTCTCATTATGACGTCTCGTCTATTTTTGCATTCCGGCCAATCATAGTGTTCTGTAAATTGTTAACTGTACAAGTAGTGCAGAGTAATACAACTATATACAGTAATGGATATACAGCATGTACAATTTATATTGACAGTGACAGACATGTTTAAAAAAAAAAGATATGCATGCTGGATATTTGTCACCAAAAAGTACCCTTCTTACAGGAAGGAATGACAAATGGTGGTTTCCCCGAATAATTTCAACAAAAAAAATAATTCAGTGACTAAGCGAAGGAAGAAAAAAAACGTACAAGTGACAACATAGAGATTCAATATCCTTTACTATCTCCAACCCTCTGCTCTGTGTTTTCGCGTTGCTTAATAAAACAACGGTTTAAATCAGGCATCCTGCGTCAGTCCTTAATAATCTGAGTGTATCAAACGCCCTCCTCTATTTGTTCTCTATGCAGCTATGGTATGTTTGAACGGCATGTGTTTGTATAACCACTGAGAAGAAGCAAGAAACCCGCACGGAAGCCACATCCTCCAGTGACATCACATCATGTCATGGCAAGAGACGCACACCATTCAGGAAAAACTGGTTTGTAGACATTCTGTTTGTCACCCTCCCTCCTTTATTTTGGTTTTCCTCTTGCTCTTTGTTATTTATATTTAGTCTGACAGTATCTTCGGAGGGTGTAACTGACTTCTCCCTCTGACTTCTACCAAGCAGACCATGAACCAGCCTTTCTCAGTCCTGAACGAGCGGCTGAGGCCTTCTTCCAACACCGGCACTCATCTCTACTCCTCCCTGAACAGAATGGAGGACAGACAGATGGGCTCGCTCAGCCGCAGAAACCTATTTTACCGACCCACAGTCGTGCCAACAGAACCAAAAGCCTCCTTGACCCAAACAGAACCAAAAGCCTCCTTGACCCAAACAGAACCAAAAGCCTCCTTGACCCAAACAGAACCAAAAGCCTCCTTGACCCAAACAGAACCAGAAGACCCGGAGGAGGCTGAAAGCACCTCGGAGGAGGGAGATCAGGTCTCTGATGAAGGGACTTTTGCAGATCTGTTGAAAAACTCCTTCCTTATCAATGAGTTAAACTTATCAGATTTTGGAGAAGATGAACCGGGTGATGAGGACAGAAGCGCCTCCTCTTCTGAGGAGGAAGACCAACCAGGGGAGCTGAACTCAGAGGGGGCCGGGGACTCAGAGTCAGTGTCCTTGGACGATGAAGGCAGGAGACCTTTTCAGAGAAACTACATAAATGGAGCTTTGCCAGACCTGATCAACAGTGGCAGGCCGCTCAGCAGGCGCCGGACACTGGGACACGTCTCAGACACGGTAGGATAACACATTTCATATACGCCTGTCTATTTGAATAAGAGAAAGGTTGTTGGTTTCCTGGTAAACATTCTTTGACAGTGCATGCATTTGAAATCCATTCTTCATCAAGTCTTGTCAGACAACTAAACCTGTTATACTGGGAGGAGACAGTCCCAACAGTCACAGAGGAGTTGACTAAACACAACAGCACATCATTAAAGATGAGAAGTTGTTCCCAAGAAATCAAAAACTACAACATAACAAAGTGTGATCAGAATCAGTGTGTTGCTCTGACGTCAGATCACAGTTAACTTCAGTTTGCATAGAACTGTTATGATTTTACAGCAGAGGATGGCAGGGTTTGATTTGTGGTTATGAGTAAAGATGGAAACAGTGTTGCTCGGAAATGCTTTATGCCTCTAACATAAAGTTCAAAACGTCCATTACTTATCTTGATGTGCCTTTGAGTTTCTATGAATGCAATCATGTGTGCATATTTGCAGTGTTTGCAAGTGATGAATAACTTCTAAGCCGGTACGACTGGATTTATTGTCCACAGTCTCACCCAGGACTCTAGATAAGCAGTATCTGTTTACACTGAGTTGAAATGTCACAAGGTTGTACTTTCTGTGTGCGGGCCTTTAATTATCTAAACAGCAACATGTGGGGACTTGTAATAAATGTACTGATGTGATTTTTTTTTAACTGTTTGCAGCTAAAAGAAGTGCGAAGAGAGGTGGAGCTGTCCCGGAGAAGAAGTATCAAGCTGAAGGCGCAGGTGGACAAACTCCAGGAGAGCAGAGAGGGGCCGGGATGGAGCCAGCACAGAGAGAAGGTGAAGCCCACACACAGCACCAGGGCGTCGTTTACATCAACGCAACTCTGCAGGTTTCTTATTTATATTTCTGTTTATTCCTACTCCAGGTCACAGAGGAGGTTCAGTCAATCCTGAAGCTGCTGCGCCAGCTCACAGAGTCCGAGTCCAGCCCACCTGAACCCCCCCGTGGGACAAACCGTCTAGATGCTTCTCTGGCCCAGCTGCAGACAGTGGCCTGCAAACTGGCATTGAGCCACAACAAACAGGTAGGGCAGCCCCCATTGAGATAAATCTCCTCACCCTTATCATGTTAGATAGCTCTGGTTGATTGTAGCTGGTATGTTACCTGGATGAATGTTTGCTTTGTACAAACAAGGGAAACGATAAGGAAAGAAATCCTGAGTTTTGATTCTCAATTTCTATCAGAAATGTGGCGAAACTAAAGAAATACTGCACCCCTAAAATGAATCTCAGTAAAACTATACTTCACCCTGTGTCAGCTTAAACACAAACTCCATGGTGATCAGAGGCAGAGCAACTTAATGATTCGAAGTAAATGGGGGGTGCATTCAACCACACCAAAACGATTTGAAAACTTCTGTGTACAAACTCTTACACTATGCAGTATAATCAAAGTTTAATTTACCCATTTGTATGCTAATTGCTTCACAAACATTGCATTTATTCCTAAAAATGTACTATTTACAGGCATACACTTTTGCAGGTGCGCTACTTATCTGTGCAAGTACTGCTTATACATACTGTATGTGTTTTAAATACAACGGTTTTTGCAGAAGTGCATGTGTTAAGATATATACTCAGCATACGAAATTAGAATGAGATCATTCTACACTGATTACACCCCCCATTCCCTTCGATTCAACAAGAATGTACTAAATTCTCTTCAATTGATTAAGGCAACACTGAGTGAGGTGTTCATTAACAAATACATAGAGGTTCAAAGAGGTAGTGGCATCTTAAGTATTCACCTGACTCAAAGATGCAATTGGCAATGCAGCAAATAATTTATATCGTCAACAAGGGAGTTAATGAACTACAAGCCTTAAATAATCCCTGAAGCGCGTGCATAGACTTCCCAGCTGACGCAGGAGGCACACATTCCCAGCAGATGAGGCACCTTCCTCATTGTTAAAGTGTCGACGCTCAGCTATGTGGCCTGACAGGTTTACAAATGACAGTTAACCTGATCTGAGCCATCTTTTACTGTATGGTAGAGAAATACACCAGTCTTTTTCTTCAGTTTTGTGACTGATGGTGGCATTATATCAAATTCTTGTTAAAACATAAAAGAGAGTGAAGTCAGGGAGGTTAGAGGAAGATAATAAAATGTTGTGACAAAACTTAACCTATATCCCTTGTTTTCGTTCATTTTAAAGTCCAAATCTGGAAATGGAAAAGGATCAGAGGAAAGCGCTATCCTGCAGCAGGCGTTACGGGACAGAGACGACGCCATAGAGAAGTGAGTACACACACAAATGAATCCAGATTCAAGTGGAAAAATGGAAGCTGAAAAACATGAATCTATTTTGAGAAATGTGTCATTCTTTCGGTTCTGCTTTCCAGGAAAAAGGCGATGGAGGCCGAGCTGCTGCGAAGTAAAACGGACTTGATGTTGCTGAACAACCAGCTGCTGGAGGCCGTGCAGAAACGCCTGGAGCTGTCACTGGAGCTCGAGAACTGGAAGGTAAACACTACCAAGAGCTGGACAAAAACAGCCGATAATATGCTAAGGGTAGTCGTATCATGGAACAAATTGAGCCATGATGAGCAAATCAAAGAAACAGTGTAAAGTAGGACACAGAGTAAAGACACACATATCATTAGTGTTAAACATGTTACTATTAGGACTTCAAACATGTTCAGCTTTAAAATACACACAAAACAAACTGCAATTAAAATCCAAACACATTTCATTCAGTACATGCAGAGTGTGCAGGCGTTACTGCCAGCTGGTTTCCTGCCACAGTGATTTGGGCCCGGGCCCATGTGTTCAGCGCCTGGTGTTCTGCAGGGTTAAACGGTCAATCTGATACTACACTGCTCTGTGGTATCCAGTTTAACTTCCCTGTACACTTGGAGTACAAAACAGATTTCAACTAGCCAACTCAAATATTGAAATAAACAAATAACTAAGAAAGTGTTAAATTACTACAATTATATTACCACTGTTACAATATTCATAAAGGTAAAATCCTTCTCTGGATATGATTGGATTCCATTATGTTTTTAATGTAAACTTACCAATAACTTCAACTTTAAGAAAAGTAACCAAATCACACACAATTTTATGTGGCATACTATGCTATGACCTTTGTATTTGCTAATGTCACATTATCCTATTGTTTTATATTTAATAAAATACTATCTTGTTACTTCTCACACATTTTTTATGGCATAATAGACAATAACTTCCTGAGGATCTTGTATGTCATACTTTACAATTCTTTTCACTTTTTCTTAACATACTATACTTCTACTTTTGCCACAATATTTTTTTAAACATAATATACAATTGACTCTTTATAACATACTATACTATTACTTTTTTAAATATTTAAATAAGCTACGACTTTTTATGACATGGTATACAAACTTTAATGAGATACTTCTACATTTCTATGTAGATTTGAGGTTGTAGGTAAAGTCTGTATTCCTCGTGCTCTGACAGTCTGTGTTTGCTCTACCTCAGGAGGACGTCCAGCAGATGCTCCACCAGCAGCTGCAGGCCCAGCAGCAGGCGGAGGCCCAGAAGAAGCCCTCCCGCCTGGGCATCCTGAGGAGGAGCAACAAACCACCCATCCAGCGGCCGAACAACTTCCCCATGTCTACGCCCGTCCCTCCCACAACCAACTCCAAACAAATCTTCGTCCCCAGATCTGCTGTTTCCACGGCTCCCAGCACGCCGCCCCCCCCAACGCCACTGGATGGACAAGCTGAGGAGGCCGAAGAGCAGCCGCCATGAGCCGGACGCAGTGGAGCCGCAGCCCGAGGGCGACAAAGGCTTCCAGGTCGTTTCACTGGATTAAAACAGGGATGACTTTCTACTGTACTTTCATTCTGATGCTCAAAGCTCGTGATTTCAAGTACAAAATGTGTGGCTTATCATCACTGTTGTATGAAAACATGCTTTGGATCATTGAGTCATGTATGTTTAAAATGTCAATGTGATCATAAACGAGCCATGTAATTGATAATATTGTAACACTTGAATGCTTAACTCTTAATTTCCTGAATATCCTTGTTATTTTGTAAATAAATCTATTTCTTAAGCAAAGGCTCCTCCAAACCTGCTGCCGAGTCAAACCGCAGTTTATTTGCCACCTCATCACTTTAAATGCTGCACTGTCTGCACTTTAGCTAGTTGCATTTTCAAGATTAAAGGAAAAAAAGAAAAACACTGTTGCAGATTTGTCATTTTATTGTAGGATTTGAGTCTGTACACTTTCTATAATATATAATCCAATATATATATGCTCCTTGTCCACATTTATTTAAAATATGACATTATCTAGACTGAGTGCCACTTTTGGGCAACAAACAGACGCATGAAGCACAAAGTTACACCTGATGACAAGAGAAAAAGGCATGCTCGAAGTAAAACAATATACAATCCTGCACAGATGATTACAGTCTTCAAACTTTTCAATGTGATTACATGAATTCACTCTTTTATATTGTTGACACAGAGTTCCCTCTTAAAAGATATTTGTCCCACAGTAAAGCTACAGAAGCTGAAGCAGGGCCCGATTCAAAGATCAGGGGACCCCCTCCTCGACAATCTATTCATATTGTGCAACAGGAAAACTCTGTCCTGGTTGCGGAGGAAGAGGGGGGCTCTCTTCTAACTGGAGCTTTGTAAAAAGGAACCAAATGAGGAGAGTTTCACTTAAATAAATTCTGATTATTTTCTGACTTCTGTTTTCACATCAAACGGACATAAAACACTGATTTAAACATCTAGCGGCATGAAGGGACATCGGTTATGATCCTTGTGAGAGAATTCACACAAAACTGGCAAACCAGCTGCCAATCTAAAGTCTGCTAGTTATAATTGTAGAATAAAATATTTTGTATTTCTTACCAAGTTTTAGAGAAATAGAGAAAAGCAGCTTTTGACAAAAGAGGCACAGATTTACAACACCCTGCTTATTCATTAAGATGGCAGTTTCACTACTGGACCATAACGCTCAAACCCATGAAAACAGAACTTATATTAACACTAGTACGATTAGATAACAACATACATTGCTGCAGCATATATTTGTAAGATACCCATTTAGCGCCTTGGCTGTAAAGATGAGCGAGACACGGATAATAACTCAGTAAAACATGTTTCATTAAAACACTGATGGACTAACCAAATACACAACGACATTATCATGGCTTATTGCCAGACAGACAGGAGAATAGTTTACATTGTTAATAATTAGCATATCCTATAATTACTATAACCTGAGATATTCAGGAAACAGATTGTGACAGTTCTGCATTTATATGTTTCAGCTTGGTTTTCATGGATGATAATCTTGATAAAAATATAACCAGCGCTCTCGGTGTACTCGAGTTGTGGCAAAGTCAATGAAATGTAAATCCTCATCTCTGACAGAGCAGATACAGAGGAGAGGATGTGAGAAATAAAGATCCAGAACAATATATTGTATATATCACTCTTATCAACATTAAAATCAGTTTCTACAACAAAGCACCTGTACAAGAAGTCTGCATTACAGCCTCTTTGCAGAGCTCTGACCTCCTGACATGATACCAAACTCTCTTGCGCAAAAATCCCCCAAAACTTTTGCTTTGCACATTCCTCACTCAGCTGCTCCGGTAAACAGTATGTATTTCATTCCAGTGCTGTCAAAACGTTCACATCCAACCCCCTGACTGCTGGTCCACTTCAGCATTCCCTGGTTAATGTTTCAACATCAAGAAAGCAGTGTGCAACGTTTCTTTGGATTAGTACATTAACTCTAGAACAGCCCTGTTATGTTATATATTGTCTACCTACTGACCAGAAAATCAATGAAAACACATCTAGAAACACTACCTGACTGGCAGAGACTAAAGAAAAGAAAAGTTCACCTTTGCTACGCTTCACTAGAATTGTTTAAAGGACTGACTGTTGTAAAAGGGCGAGTTTGGTCCAGTGTTGGCAAATAATAGCATCATCAACAACTCCTTCTGCTGCTGAATACTAACCGTCATTTTCACGCTCAGGGGTGCGTTAAAAAGTTTTGAGGTGCAGGCAGGAGGCAGCTAGGACTGGAGGAAGGAGCTGACGGAGCTGATGAAATCTAAAGGTTTATCTGCGTGGATCCAGTGGCTCGCATCTGGGATGTACTGGATGTCAGCGTTAGGGAACAGCCTCTGGATTTCTGGGTAATCGTCAGAGCTGGATCAGGAGTTACAGAGAAATAGGAATTAGATCAATAATCAGGTAAAACAGGATGGTGTGAGGCACAAGAGACAAGAAGAGGATGGCCACAAAACAGAAAAGGGGTTAATTGAGTGATTTATGATGTTATCTGAGTGAGATGTTTTTCCTCATGATTTTACCTAGTCAAATTATACATTTGTGAGATTTGTTTTTTCTATTTATTGCAGATGTAAAGAGTATTTATTTATAGGGATACAGCCAATGGCTATCCAGTTTGATCATCTGTTTTAGATCATCAATCTCATATATGTATACACATACAGCATACATCATGTTATGTCCATTTGATGCTGCTTGTGCTTTAAGAAGATCTGATTGATGGAGATGTTGCACAGCAACACTAAATATAAAAACATTATGTAAGTACAAGAACGGTTTGATCGTTGGGATTTCAATCTGGAATAAGTTAAATATAAGGTTAATATAAACATAAGGCTCAAAGATATGGATCTGCTGGTATATAATAAACCTCAGAGCAATAACTAGGTTGTTTAGACAAAAAAGCAAATCATGCAAAAGTCCATTCAGGAAGAAGATCTGGAAGTAAGCTATTACCACTATAATATGCAGCATTTTCAGTACTCTCTGCTTATGCATCTGCTCATACAAGAAATAAAATGTCTGGGTCTATTTTACCTGATATAAGCAGAGCTGGCTCCACCCAAAAACAATGTCGGTCCATCATAGACGGTGTCGAAGCTGGGGAAACTCATGATGTCCTCAAGGTGCGCCGAGATAGACTCCAGGTTGACCCTCCAGGCGTAGTGTCCGTTCTGCTCCACCAGGTTAGTCAGCAGGAACTGACGCACCGAGCGCTCCTGAGGGATGAACAGTTGATTATGATCACTGGTTCAGAGTTTGACCTCAAAGTGGCCGGAATAAATATTCCTGCATTTTAGACTAACATTCACTGTGAGGACTATTAACTAGTCACTTTCAAGTTTGCAATGCCAAATCAGTTATTATTTACTGCAGGATAAAATATCAGATACAGGAAAGGACATTGACACTTACACAAGAGATTACATTCCAAGATAATTCTATTAAAGAAAGATTGACCATCTATGTATTTCAAACAGTGAGTAGTGTGAAATCAAAAAGGGATTCCCGACCTTGACCAAACTGCGCAGCTGATCCTCGGCCATCCGCCTGGCGGTGGAGCGCGGGATGTCGCTGGAGATCTTCACTTCCTGCATGGCCTTGATGTAATACCGGAAGTTGGTGCGTGTGGAGGTCTGGGCTGGACTGATGTCCACCACCACCAGCCTCTCCACTAAACCAGCCTACAAACAGACACATAGATTGGGGTTAACACACATTTTAAATTGAGTTTTCCTATACTACAGCTTTTTTTCTGATTTCTCTTGATGGCATACTATACAATATATTTTTTTAAGATGTTTTGAAGACAAAGGCTTATATGCTATGACAGTTTGTATGATGATTTATGGCATACTATACTATGACCATTTGTATTATTATTTTATACTATAACAATTGTCATGGCCTAGTATACCAGGGCTTAACAATAAGGATTACCTGGGGAAAGTACGATGGCATGTCGGGCTTGTAAAGTGTACAGAAAGATTTGAACATATTCTGATTTTTTTTCAGAGCTGCTGATGTATGTAGCCAAGGAGTGAGCCATCTTACTTATCTCACCTCTTTTAATATCTGCACATGTGCTGTACTAATATTGTTAATAATTATACACCCTAAAAATAAAACAATTGATATGGCAGCAAGTAAAAATTGACCTTGTGCAACCCGGAACAAGGAGGAAAAGAGATGTTATAGTCGGGAAACCAATGACAAAAAGTAAACATGACAGCTAGGTGTGGCAGGAACTACAGAGGATTATAAAGTTCAGAGAGGACAGGAATGTAGAGTGAGAAAGGTCAAAAGATATCCAGAAAAATGTCTGTTAGAGTCACCATTAAATCACGGTGACATTTCCCAGCTGCTCACCTGTGTCAGAGCGGTCGTCATGGCAGTTTTTCCTCCCATGCTGTGGCCGATGAGGACGCATTTTTCAATGTGAAGCTGAGCGAGGAGGTGCTTCAAATCCTCGGCCATCGCTTCATAGTTCAGCTCCGGGCTGTGAGGGCTGTTACCGTGGTTACGGGCATCTACAGTCAGCACCTATCTGGACAAAGGACAATTAGGAGACTTGAAACAAGCCAACAGAGCAGAAACAAATAAACTTTTATGTCAGCTGTATCTGTTTTTTTTGGCTCCAGCCTCCAGCTCAGGCAAGGGCATAAACAAAGGCCTTATTGTGTAAATGAGGTGAAGAGATACTTAAAGAAAGCCAAAGAGCAGATTATTTATCAGTATTTATTACCATAGTACAGACTGCTGGAGAGTTGTATCAAATGACTGGCAGCACACTGGTTGATTGTGTACTCCCATGCCTGCTTTTGTAAGAGGGCCATTGTCAGGCTGTTGAGAACCAACTCAAACACATAAAGGGAAACTGTTTTTGGTGTAACAACAGACAAGTGTGATGTCTTCATCACTGCATTACCTTTCGACCTGTGCGCTGCACCAAGGACTTGGCTATTGAGTGGAAGTTAGATTTGCTGCCAAAAAGGCCGTGCAGAAACACCAGGGGAGTGCTCTCTCCCTTCCCATCGAAGACATCATAGGTCAAGTTGACGGGGCTGGGGAAGAAAAACATCCTTGTTGATTAGATAGAAAACAATTAATGTTGAGAATCATGTCAGGAACGGTAATAGATGTATGTTATACAATTTTGCAAACTTATGAAACTGTCATGGAGAGGTCAATAGACCCATTCAACCAGAAAGAGGTTTTGGCAACATTGTTTAGTGACTTGAACTGATTTGCTTCCACCTACTGGTACAACACAATGTAAGCATACGTGCACAATTACGTTGCTTTTTACAGGTTTACGTTTTTTTATATAGAAACAGAACATTTATTCTAATATGAAAATGTACGGTAAAAATGTCCTTGACTTCAAATGTGCCACTGTAGATGTTAACATAAGGGTATACAGGGAGAACACACAACTACATACAATATTCACATTAAAGAAGCTAGAACCATAAAACATTTGGCCAATTTGTTTGTTAAATGGCTTTAAATCTACTCCAAACAATGTTATTTTCTGTTGATCAACTAACTGATTAATCAGCTTATCGTTTTAACTCAAAAAAGGAAAACTTTACTGGCATAATTCAGTCTTTGTTGTTACTATATAATAGCCTTAGCTAAACCGATAGCCCTGCAATGAAGGTGCTAAAAGGCCTGTTTGGACGGAGATATAGATGGATGTAGCCTTAATCTCACCTTCATACCAAGAGTTGTTATTTAAATGTCTACCCCAGATGGAAATGATAGACCCACCTCTCAGTATAATACTGAAAGAAAAATATGTCATTAAGGTCATGCCAATAAAGCTATTTGATTTTAATTGAGTTGAATAACATAAATAAAATAAAATGATGCGTTTACAGTATAACGCAATACTACAGGCCTTAACTTAAAACAATTCCATTATAAACCAGTTTTAACAAAAACGGTGTAAAATTCATAAAAATGTGATCAATTAAAAGGGGGTTGTGTTACATATACACAACGACCATGTTAGCTTGGTTGACTAAACTGATAGCTTAGCTTGCAAGTAGCATAGCATACCATGGACTAAATAAACATGAAAGCAAATATAGTTTTAATTTAGCTACATAAATAAATAGGATAAAGCAGACAGCCGGAATATATATGATAATATCTCCACTGCAGGTTAATCCTCTTGCTAACCAGACGCCTGAATGTCATTTGAGTAAATAGTGTAAGTTAACGGTTTCTAAAGATAGAAAAACAAGACACGATGACAAAATACTACGATTGAATACCGGGCTGTTTTTAAAGAAACATTTGGGGTGTCATTTGCACCCAGCACCTCCTCCACACCACGCTACACGTAAGGCAGACAGAGGGCATCAGCTAGCCGGGAGCTAGCACTTACATACCTGGATGAGCTGGCTGCTCGGACCGGGAGAGCCGCACCGCTCACATCCTGCGGCTGAATGCCGAACAAACGACACGACAGCATACCCCTCTGGAACAGACGACAAAAAGCACTCATGGCAGCATATGCTCCGTTACCGAACCTCTCGACAAACAGCGTGTGCGTTAAACCATAGACTGCACAGACACGGTCAGTCACAGTTGCAGCGGAGAGTCCGTAGTGAGAGAGAGCAGAGCCGCTAGGTCCGATTGAATGGAGCTTCTCTCCGTCAACAGCTGATGCTGCGTCGTGACGTAGCACGCACAAAAGAAATGCGTGTTCTTTCAGATTTTTAATCTCTCAGTCAGGCTCCCTAAATATGACTTTATTTCTGATATTTTCCTTTTCTTTTTTATCAGTTATTTACTGATGGTTAACCATTGCTTGGAGACTGGGGTTGAGGACGAGCAATCAACTAGCGATTCAAGAGCGCACCGGAACGACGTACTCTACGAAGGACTGCGCATGCGTCAAGGGCAGTAGTGTTTGGAATATGATTTGTTTGGAGTTTTTAGTATGTCGTTTTTAAGTTTGAGCCCCCAGTTAACAGGTGACACAATGCACTTAATGTATGTATAGGATAAGATATTTTTTCTTTGCTTTATCAATATATTTTGTATTGGAAACGACCCTGGACTTCACATGTTTTCAATGTAACATGTGAAAGTGGATTTTTTCTCTTTTACATCAATATACAATTATTTTATCTTTCGTCTGAATACACTGTTTTTCTTTCAAATGTAGACCTTTATGCACTCAGCATCTTGGCAAAAAAGAATGGGAAAAGGCAGCAACAGATGAAAACATGTGCACTTGTTGAGCCACTGGGTGGCGGCACAATGGCACAAAGTTAAACACACCATCAACAACACAATGAATTCCTCACTGCCCTGTCAGTGGCTCCCACTGTGAGAACAGCTCACAGTAGATGAACAGGTCATGTATTGTTTTGAACAAACAAGTCTATGGGGAAAAAACAAGAGGTTGTTTCGATTCATCAATGTTACCTTCACGAAGCTGCTGAGTCATTTTGGAAAACGTTAAAATACCATTGGAGTACGACTAGGCCTGCTGCATTTTATATGATTTTCTACTGGATAGTTTACTGATTGCATTTGAAAACGTTTTGGATTATTTTGTATTGCTCTTATGTGTTCATGGCTCCTCTTATACAGGAACATAAAAACAACCCTTCAGTGTTTGGGTCTGGAGAGCTTGGCCTCCCCTGCTGCGTCTCCAAACACTCATCGCTATGGGAGATGAGTCTGCTGGGATAAAGCATGCTGTGAGCCGTCACCATAGTGACAGCATGAGACAGAGGGAGATCACGGTACAGACCCGACTCAGGAAGAGATTATCGGTGGATGAGTGTGCACTTTTAATCACATTAAACATTGTTTCATAACTCCAGTTTTTTATTCAACACTCCCAACTCAATGATTGTCATGCTAACTTTTTACATCAATATTGTCCAATCTCAAGGGATGCCTTTATCTAAAATGAAGATGTTTAAAGTGACAATAATAACCATATTAACTGTTTAATCACACAATGACAAATACTATAATAAAATGCATAAAGATATCCATATTAATTTCAAATTGGGAAAAGTCTATGCAGGGGAGAAGAAGGCCAGTTTTCTTTTAATATCCTCCAATATTTAAAAAAATTAATAATCCAATAGACATTGGTCGAATAAACAAAAAAAAGACAAAATGATTAAAAGACTGATGAAATACTGAACGTTTAACGTAATAATTGTCGAGATGGACGGGTCAAGACAATGTTGTTAGTGACAGTTTAAAAGTTAAGGTTGTTTTTCCATTTTACTTGAAAACGTTGAGAATTGTTATCATGCCTGCCCTTATCCCCCTGAGTACTGTGGCTTTCCTTCTTTACTGTGTTATGAAGCTGAACTTCCAAACAGTCAACGTCATGCTACACAGAGCACAGCAAATAACGTATTTGTCTTGGTTTTCAAATTGCTCCTTTTTATAGTGCCTGCATGGACACACACATTACATGAAAGTTGGTGAAACATCTGGATTTATGAAACTTCTCCTGCCATGAAGAAAGTAAACAGAGTCAAATGGAAAGTAAAATATTTTCTCAGTTTGACTTCCAACTGAAACCCTTTCTACGTGGTATAATGTATATATATATAATAGTTAAATACATATATATTGTAGAGTGATTCATTCAAGCAAGAAGGATATTGCAGTTGACCTATACCTTAACGTTCCTAAATATTTCATTAAGCATGTATTTTAATTTAATTTGACATTGTTAGGTTATTGGACAGGGATTACATTTTTCATCCATTGTTCTTGTTTAGTTGATAAAGTGCAAACTAAAACCGAATAAAAGGACATTTGATAAAGTTGCTACCATACATTATATATCAGCAGGAGCATTGCAGTGTGTTGACCCAAAGCTCTCTTGTATGGTATCAGTCAATCCAAAATACTGCTTATTTAAAATACAATGTGTTTTTTTTACTTCTGCTTCACTGACACTTCTACTTTCTCTGGTGGACTTCGCTAGTGTGTGTGTCTGTGTGACCTTTACAAAGATGTGTCTGGCCAATTTCCACCTTATTTGTTTTCATTAAAAAGACTTTTTTTTATTTATTGGGTTTCAAAAGGGTCTTAATATAAATGAATAGGCACACATTTTACATATTTATTTTTAGAAAAAGCCAGACTCTACTTAAATGGCTTATTATTGTAAAATACCATTCTCTGTATCTTGTTTTATTCACTTTTTTTCATATTCTATTCCAATTAGTCTTTATTGTAATCTTTCACAACAGCTCCAATGTATCTGTAATGTATTTACATATATATAATTACTTTGAAGACACATTAAGTCATAAAAGACAGCTCAAAGCTCCCAAATAAGAGATTTATCTATGAGGAAAATAATCTTCTCCTTCCAGGAAAAACACTTTCAAAAGCGCAGCAACATCTTACAAAACAACAACAGAACCATTTCAGTAACAGTGCTACAATAACCGTCTAAATGATTGCAAGACACAGCTGCAGAGGCCAAAACTCTGATTCTTGTTTTTGGCTCTGGTGGTGACACATATCTGATATCCCTTGAGATTAAACTCTTTCCTCTTAAAAAACTTTGACCCTGATGAAACACAGCTTGAGCCTGCATGCTCTTTCCAAATAACCATAGTGACCTGTATCCTCAGGTTAAAATTGAAGATTATAGTGTGTTTATAACACATACACAAATAAATATATGAAAGAAAGAACAAAGTAAGTTTTAATATGTAATTAATAAGAAAAAAATGTGCTCATCTTATATTTTAATCTCATATATTTTACCTGGTGTTACCAAACTGCACAGCCACATTGGTTCTGATACCTCTAAGATTTGTAAGGAAAGTACATTTGCCTAACATACAACATATTCAGTGACACATGCCAAAGGAAGGGTTTGCAAGAGATAGTTTATCTGCTTTACACAACTTTACAGTCAATAACTCATTAAGGTTAAAAAATCAGTGATAACCTGAGCTAAAACTTTCCAGAGTCTCTATCAGGTACCGGTTGGACTTTGCTGTTCAGTCATCCTCTTGTTTGTGAGAAATCTGCTACCTGTCAACTGCACCTGCACATGTTCCTGCTGGAAAGTGAAGTTGACATTCAAATGTGCTATCAATAACAAATGACGACTCAAAATGAACAATGACCTTTGTCACAACTGCTTTTTGTTTCCCTAAAATGCAACTCCAGTTCTCACTTTGTTTACTAATGTACAACATCCTCCCATTGCCTAACTTCCCATTAAAACACTTAAATGTAGGGATAACAATGATTAATTCCCTGTGTTGTGTTATCTTCCTTCTTAATTTAGAATTATATTAATGCACGCTAATCTTCATTAAAGGTACCATATGTTTTGACTACTAAGAGTGCAATTAGGCAATGATTGTATTGTTGCCTAATTTTAAATACATATATATTGTAAGAGTGATTAATTCAAGCAAGAAGGATATTGCAGTTGACCTATACCTTAACGTTCCTAAATATTTCATTAAGCATGTATTTTAATTTAATTTTACATTGTTAGGTTATTGGACAGGGATTACATTTTTCATCCATTGTTCTTGTTTAGTTGATAAAGTGCAAACTAAAACAGAATAAAAGGACATTTGCTACTACATGATATGTGTGCACACAAGAGTAAAATACACACACAAATAAAAATGTCATAAAACGAAGGTCAGAGAAGTTGAAAAAGTTGCTATCATACATTATATATCAGCAGGAGCATTGAAGTGTGTTGACCCAAAGCTCTCTTGTATGGTATCAGTCAATCCAAAATACTGCTTATTTAAAATACAATGTGTTTTTTTTACTTCTGCTTCACTGACACTTCTACTTTCTCTGGTGGACTTTGCTAGTGTGTGTCTAGACTCGGTAATTGCCATGGCTATCAGGATTGATAATCGCCTTACTGAGAGAAGAAAGGAGAAACTCGGAGCTGTTTCCGCCAACGTCTACCACGGAGGGCACTCCACCTCGCCTCCCTCATCTGAGAGATTCTTCCCTCGTCAAGCCCCACCGTCATCACAGAGGACTGCACCCCCCAGCTGATCGGAGGAACCCATGCAGCTGGGACGTGCCAAGCTGTCAGCTGAGGAGCGGCGTAGCCGTCTTCTAGAGGGGCTGTGTTTCTACTGCGGACAACGAGGTCACATGCTACCAGCCTGTCCACTAAAAGAGCAGGCTCACCAGGGAAGAGGAGGGCGCTGGTGAGCCGACTCTCTGCCTCTGGTTTCCCTTCTCGCGTCCTGACCAGCGCCCAGGTACATTTAGCTACTATAACATTAACTCAAGGGGTATTAATTGATTCAGGGGCAGATGAGAGTCTGATGGACTCGGGGTTAGCTAATGAGTTAAAAGTCAAGACCGAACTGTTGACCCAGCCTCTACAGGCCAGCGCCTTGGACGGCAGATTGCTTTTCAAGATAACTCATAAGATTGAACCCTTAGAAATTGTCATTGATAATCATAGGGAACTCCTATCCTTTCACTTGTTTAACTCAGCTCAACACCCCGTCATATTGGGTTTTCCCTGGTTGAGGAAACACAATCCAAACATTGATTGGCATTCTGGTAAGATTAAAGGGTGGGGGGAGGAAAGCACTACTGATTGTCTCAGACAGGGGGAAAAGATAGCTGTTGGAGGGGCTTCTTGGAATTGTGTAAGGACTGCGTCGCCAGACATTGACCAGAAACCTGAACCTCCAGACTTGAGATTAGTACCTACCTGCTATCATGACCGTGGGGAAGTTTTTAGCAAGGCTAAAGCCATGACTCTTCCTCCTCATAGACCTTATGATTGTGCCATTGATTTGATCCCAGGAGCT